GTTGCTGTTTACATCCCCTCCTCTGCATCTAAATTTTGGGTTTTGGAAGGGCAAGAGGAAGGACTATCACTGTAATCTAACCCGCTGGAAAAGAAATACAAAAACAATGGGTTCGTTTCTCTGGGGAAGTGAATCCTTACTCTTGTAACCTTTAAAAAAAAACAGAATCCAGATCTTGAAGCTGCGCAGTCATAAACTCAGAGTTCATAATAACACCAGGGTTTATGAATTTTGACAATGGGAAACAGAGAGTCACGATAACAACTGGCTTAGAGTCTTCCATCTCTTATTCTGTCTGCTTTCAGATGGTGAAAGTTCAAGCACATCCATAACATTCACTTGACAGATGCCGGAGCAGAAAGAATCTAGGAGGGTGTCACTCAGCAGCAGACAAACGTGAAATCATCTGCATACAAGTTGGCCTCATTCGATTCTATAAGTGGAAAAACACAAGTGCTCGGTTCACTTGGTATTTTCATTGTGCAGCCAGTATCTATAAATCATTCTACATTTCTTCACTTAATAAAAGATAGCAAATATAATGCTGATTTTTACACATGCATTACTTGGAAAAACCTCTACATTTCTGCATCACCGTGCTTCTATCCAATCATTTTCCTCAGTTATCTGATACTGCAGAGACTTATGAGTTCATGTCAATTTGACACTCATTTCTCATACCCACAAAAGGATGCAAGTCTCACATAATATACACCGCCTAGCCAAAAAAAAAAAAAAACACCACTCAGATTAAGCTAGGGAAGTAGGTAAGAGCCTCCTATTGGATAATTACTGCATGGGTGATTATGCTTTAAAGATTGGACACTGGAGCAATGGAAGGAGGTCATGTGGTCTAATGAGTACAGATTTACCCGGTTCCAGAGTGATGGGCGCCTCAGGGTGAGAAGAGAGGTGGATGAAGTGATGCACTCATCTTTCCTAGTGCCTATTGTAAGAGTCTGTGAGAGCAGTGCAATGATCTGGGGTTGCTGCAGTTGGTCAAATCTAGGTCATCAGGTCTAGGTTATGTGCCCAAAGAATGAGGTCAGCTGACTACCTGGATATACTGAATGACCAGGTTATTCAGTAATAGGATTTTCTTCCTCCCTGATGGCACAGGCATATTCCAGGATGACAATGCCAGGATTCATCAGGCTTAAATTGTGAAAGAGTGGTTCAGGGAGCATGAGACATCGTTTTCACACATGGATTGGCCACCACAGAGTCCAGACTTTAACCCCTTTGAGAATTTTTGGGATGTGCTTGAGAAGATTTGGCGCAGTGGTCGGATTCTCCAATGAAATATTAGAGTGAGTGACTTTTGTTTTTGGCCAGGCAGTGTATGATAGGCGCTGGCACCAACTGCTTAGATAAACTATATTATACAGAGGACAGAAAAGTGAATTACTGGATGGTAAGAAATCCTGGTACGCCAAAAAAATCCCTTTAGGTAGTGGTCCAAAGACTGAGCCAGGAGGAACCCCCACACATCACGCTGACCTGCTGTGCGCCATAGGGTTCAAGTTTGAATAAGTTTAAATAAGTGTACAATAATAAATTATTCTGATATATTTCAAAGAATTGTACAAGGGTTTCTTATTTGACATTGTTTGAAGTCAGAAATTGGATCAAATTGACTCCCACTATGTAATTATTGCTAAGCCATAAGTTTGCACGCTCATACAATCCATGCTGTGAAGCTCATTCTGTGACTACATTAAGTTATATCTACAAGCTGTTCAGTGCAGCAGGGTTTTCCATAAGAAGAAAAATAGCCCAGTCACTTATTCTCACAAGGACATACATTAACATGGAAGGAGTACATGTTACATACAGATGCACACAGGAGCCCACTGACTCATAACAAAGGTATATAACTCACTGCCTGAGCCTCTCTCTCTCCTGCTGTGTTGAATCCACCTATATCCTTATTTTCCCATCTAGACAGAGTAACGCTACAGTAGCCTCCAATTCCATTTTCTGCGCTAACTCTCCCCACAACCCCTCCCTTTTTCCCCATCTCCATCCCTCACTCTTTCCCACTTACTTTCCCTCTTTACCTCACCACCTCTGCCTCTGTATTCCTTCTGCCTCCGTACTCCACCTCTTATTTTCTTTTTTTTTCTCACTCCCCATCCCGGCCTCTTAACAGCTCCCTTGTTGCATTTTCCCCCTATCTAGCTTTCTCTTTCTTTTGGATGGTCCAGTGGGACTGCCCACAATAATCACAGTACAGTGGGTTGCAATTAATCTTTCATGTAATTCTTCCAAACCACAGAAAGTGGTCACTTATAGAGATGGAGAGAAATTAGAGAGAGCTGAGGAGAGAGGGAAAAGGGATGGAAGGAGGAAGAACGATAAGATAAATTGCAAAATAAAGGGAGACACTGGAGAGTACAAGTTATATTCTTACATTATAAAAATGATGGTTAAATAAACTTGCTGCCCATGTGTAAATGTTAAGCCCATTTATTTTCTTCTCTTCCTATAACATTCAGATAATCCAGCGCACAGCTCTCTCTGAGGAGAAGTGGAGGTGGTGCAGCGTCGGCTGCCAAATCTGTTTCAAGGCGTCACAATCTCAGAAGGGATAATTAATCAGAGATTGATGCATTAAACATGAAGTCCACGTTTAATATATACTACGCCTCCATTTTGACATCCATTGTTCAATACTGTGGCAGCCAATATATTTTGTAGAGCTGTTGGTGAAATAAGACATTCAAATAAGCTTAAATTTGGAAAGTACATTTCCTGCGTCAGGGGAGTGATGATTGACAACGACTTACGGCTTGAAGGGGAAAAAAAACTCCTCCGCTAAAGCGCGCTCTGAGGTCTGTGCAGAGTATTTTGTTTGTAATGCATTGATAAAACTTCTTTGTAGTCTTTTTACAGGTCAAAGCAGCGGTGGGTTGGCTTTTTTTGTCAGTTGAGTATCTTTGTCGAGTGAGGTGATCAAGGTTTCTTTTCCTTCACTTTCTCTTATAAATCCTTTTTTTGAAAATCACTTCAGTTACAAAGGCAAGAACATTTGAAGAAAGCAAGACATTGAGGGCAAAACGTGATAAAAGTGTCGTCTTTTGACATTACAGTATGGCAGTTCCTGTGATGAGTTCAACTAAACCTGTGATTAAAATTTTAACAGCTGAACTAAATATGTGTTATATTTAACTGCTATGCTGGTGTTATCAGATTGCTCAACATGAACTTTATATGTAAACTTTAAAATTTTCTGACAAAGTGACATTAAACCTCAGCTCATGTGTATCCAGCATCTTCTTGAGTTAATTTTGAATAGTAGTCTTTCACTTTCGTTGTCTTTATTTTTCAATTTCCTCCTTTCAATCATCTCAAAGGTGTTTTCAAACTCCTGTTTTCAGTGATTAAGTGTGGACAGAAAACATTGAGGAAAAAAAAGGATCGCTCTCAAAAATACCCACGCAGGTGTGAGTGGGGCCTGAGTCAGAGGTTTTGAAAGTAAGTGGAGATTTTCTGCTGTTTTACAGTAAAACTCCAACTGTAGATGTAGGGCTGGGCGATAAACCGAAAATTTACCGATACTGAAATTTACGACATTAACCAATGTCATTTTGCCCATGTCAATATATTCAGTGTCGAAGAATAAATAAATAAATAAAAGTTGGTTTTGGATGTGTGTAGGTAGTCTATGGTCTCATGTCCCTTTAAGACGCTATCCTACGTCAGAGACGTGACTCCATCCCATCCAGTCCATAACAAAGAGGGAAATAAAGGTGAGGAGATGGAGGACGGTTCCAAAGTTGTAGCGGCTAAAGTAGACGAAGTCAATGTGGGAGGGGGTGAGCAGCTTGTGAAGTAGTTATCATCCATTTATCGTTTTTGAGGTGAACTGCTCAATATATCGTGATATTGATTATGGCCATATCACCAGGCCCTATGTTGATGCCATGCTCTAGAACAGCTTTAGGGTAAATTTCTCAACATGCCACTAATACTTATTATATACAAAAGTTTACAGTGACAGTTGGCTTACGCTGTATATGCAAAGGCTCATTTTTCTATATAAAGGCGCGACTTTCAGTTAAACTAATTCTGTTTTTGAATGAGATATGACACATTTCTTCTTGCGACCAGCTTTTCTAAAACCTTAAAATAGTCACAATAAATAAAAAAGCTGTTTATTTTTTATCTAAATAATGCAACCAACAGTGATGCCATTCATATAAATTGGGATAAGCCTCGTCAAAGTGCAGTTCGGTGGCCTGCTGAGCTGAGCTAAATTGTGCATGACCATCTTCCCAGCTTTGCAGTGTCTGTTAATCATACAATTTAATTACTGTTTATCCATTTAGACGTATTGCCTCACTGTCTTGGCTTTTTTTTATATACACAAGAGAAATATGCCCTTGTAACACAAAGTCATTTTCCATGCTTGCCAGTAGAGGAAGAGTAATTAACACTAACTTTGATTCATTTAATTTAATTAAAGAGGAAAACATACAGCCAAGAGGAAGGAAGAGAAGAAAGGAAAAGACTGAGGGATGGTGGGCTGGTGATCCAGCTAACAAGTCAAGAGGGATGGAGGATGGGGAGGGAGAGGAACAGCTTCTCAAGACAACCGGAGATAAAAACAAACAACAAAACGAGAAAGAGACAAACAAAGAACGGGGGGAGAAAAAGAGATGGTAGACAGAAAACAACAAGAAAACAGATTAGCCGAGAAAAGGAGCAAACAAAGAAATCAACTATGAGGAACAGAGCAGAACAAGACAGGAATAGTTGAGGCGAGGATTGTGAGGAGAGGCAGGTGTAGATGAGGAGAGGCAGAGATGAGGGATTACAGAGAGATAGTGTGAGACGCTGAGATGCTGCAAGAGGTCACTCTGCGCTCTTATTGTCTGCAGAAGACAATCATGGCTCACAGAGAGTCTCTATGTGTGATGGTGTAATGTGTAAACATCTGTGTATACGTGTGCACTGACAGCTTTTTCTCAAGGATGCCTCAAGTTGTTCAGGAGGTAAAGGTTAAGACATCATGACAAGGAAAGAAACAATATGGTTTGTACATCATCAGAGAAACACACACAGAAAAAGACATTTACATTTTAGGCATCTGATCAAGGCTGTTGTTCAGAATAACGCACAATTACAGTGCCAAAATTCACAACATCCAAATATAATCAGATGGAGAGGGGCCAATGGAGTGAGACAGACACATTGTTTGCTCCAAATATAACAGGAAAAAAGGCAACGTTTCAGCTCATGCTGGATTTCTGCCTGGTGCAATCACAGGAAAGACAGTCAGTCAAAGCGGCAACCTTTTCAAGCATCACCAAATTCCTCCCTTGAGTTGGTTTTGTAAAGACCAGATACGTTCAATCACAGAGGAGCACCTCCCTCCCTGGAGGAGGAGGGGAAGCAGAGGAATTGTAGAGGGGTCACAGAGGGAGAGATGTGATTCAGAGATACGACGTGAGGGGGGAGACAGACAGATGTTTCCGTAGAACAAGCCGTGTAACTGTGGTTCAGCTAACTGATGTGGTCTTCATAGTGACACGGTCAGTACTTGGAGGGGCAGAAGTGGCTGTGACACCCGGCCCGTGGTGGCAATTAAAGTACTTTGAACACTTACGCTCTTTCTTGGAGTCATGACTTGTGTGAGGATCATCAGGTTTTTAAGTTCACTTTCGTATGAAAAGAGTTGTAGCTATCTCTCTTACTGTTTTTTTTTTCTTACTTCCAGAGAGCTGATAATTCCCTTTGCTTTGAAAAGGATAGTTGTTTTTCTTGAAGAGGTACTTGTCTTAAGTGTATGATCCAAGTCAATGCAAGTCAGCACAGACTCTTTATTGAGAAAGCAACACTGATGATAGGTTATTAACCGCCACAGATGGGGTCAAGTTTTTTTTTTTCAGTTTAAAAATGTGACCGATGTGTAGGGATGGGAATTGTTAAGAATTTTGCGATTCCTACCCCATTATCGATACTGCTTATCAATACTTACTGCTTATCGATTCTCATTAAGGTGGGGTAAGCAGGAATCCGTTAAAGACGATATCGCTGTGTTTTGTTATGTCTGTGTAGTCAACATTTTAAATTTTTTGAGCGCTCTGCTCTTTCTGACTGTAAACAAAGCCATTCTCCGCCTGATCCCGACCTGATTGGTTGTGAGGCTGCTCCTTAGTGCTGATTGGTTGTGAGGCAGACACTGCTCCCCTGAGTCGTTCACGAGCCCAAACAAAGTTAGCGTGCTACAATATCGGACAGTAGAAACCAATCAGAAAGTACAGAAAATTGTCTTAATCCACGACTGCCAACACAAGCAAGAAAACGAGGTAAATACCGGAGACTCTGGCGGAATAACAGGCGCTTAAAAAGCCGGGTCAGCATAGCATAAACAATGGGGAACGCTTCAAGATCTTATGGACCGTGTAACCTTTCTGCCGGACAGGTAATTCGCTTTAACAAAGTAAGCGTAAGGTTTGTTTGCATTTACTCTTGAATATTGTCACCTTTGGACAAAAGATATGGCATATCCATATCCTACCCTTTAACCACAAATCTGGTCACAGCTCAGTGACATTCATTTATCTTCCCCTCTGTCATTTTACTCTTTCCTGCCTCGAAGAAAGGGGCTGCCAAAGGTGAGCTACCCGCTGCAGCCTCTGAGCTAAATCTAATTTAAGGAGATGGAGAGTATTTATGCAGTGAAAGGAGGTTAACATGGCGCTAACATCTACACAACAGACAGGACCTGTAGGAGTTAAACGATACTCTCAGCATTTAAAGCAGATGACGCCCAGATGTTACCTCTGCTTCTGCTTTTGCCTGAACCAATCTCACTTTCGCTAAGTAGTGTATCAAGCACGTTACACTTCCGCAAAGTGCACAAATGTTTCCGCATATTGGAAGTATTTCCCCCCTTCAACGAAATTAAAGCTTTCTAAGTGTTGCAAGAAACGGTTATCGATTCTCATGAGAAAAGCGGTCAGTTATTGAGAGGTTTAAACCTTTTGGCGTCACTTTCAGGGAGCGATCATGTCACCTTTCTTTTTAAACTCTCTATAATAATGACTGCACACTCCTTATTCTCATGGAAATTTGTGAAGTGAACTCAATTTAATCTTAATCTAAAGCTAAATGTACTGAAAAGAGACGGCTTCAAAATCGTAAATGAGGAAAAAACTGAGCAACATAATAGACCCTTACAGACTAATTAAGTATTACTAATTATCCTCGAGTATCACATAAAAGGTTTTCGCAAAAGACTGCAGAAAAGTTTTCATTCAGATTCATAGCCCAGATTAACTTTCACCCCCTTTCAGTGAAAATACTCAGTCAGGTGTGCAAAGGTCATAGTCATGCTGCCCTCGCAAAGTGCGGGAAAAAATGTCTTGTATTCTTAGAGCAAGGATGAATTATAGAAAAGGTGGAAAAGGTCATTTTTTCCCCCCCTTAGCAGCAGAGCCGGAGACATACGACAGGGAGACAGTGTCGGCAACAGTATGTGGATTGATTAATTAAAGATCTTTATCTCTCATTCCTGCGACAGAAAAAGAAAGAGGCGACCATGCTCCAGAAAAAGAGAGACGATTGGATAAAGTGCGAAGGAGAGAAAAGGGAGGCTGGGAGGTAAACCCGTGGAGTAATGGACAAGAAGAAGATGGAGAGAGATGGTTATTCCGGAGGGAGAGATGGAAAGATAGTGGTGATAACAAAAAAAAAAAAAAAAAAAAGAAACGTGATGCTGATGTGGGAGTGAAATGTGCGAGGGTTGGGAAGCTGGAAAGACAGATTGGAGGTGAGGAGGGAAGAGGTAAGGAATTTCACCTCTTTCGGTGATGAAGTGACGCGAGGTGGGAGGGGAAGGAAAGAACGGAAACTAATTAATGGAGGAGACGGCGACGGAGGGGGAGGAGGAGGAGGAGGTGGGTTGTGGGCTTTCTTTGCTAAAAAAAGCAAAGCAAGTCGACAAATGTTCACGCTCTCTTACAATGGATTTCAACGCTGCTGCAGCTGCTGAGTGAGAATTTTAAACACTACTACCTTATTCCCGATATAAACACAGCTCCAAATGGTTGCTTGCGTTTACATCACTATGCAACAAGCGGTTACAAATGATCCTCATTTGCACGCCACTTAAAGCGCTCGTTCTGTTTGCATTTACGTAAGCCAGTAGTCCTATGCAGTCAGGTAAATAGTTTCACGGACTCAAACACCATGTCATTACCACAATTATCCCCTTCATTACACTGTCATTTTATTCCAGTAGGTCTATTTCTGTCGGCTTATGTGTAAAAAAAATGACCAGTTCACAATCCTTAGAGCTTTCATACATCATGTCGAAACTGTTGTCAGGTTTGTGTTTATTATGACACGCAGGATGTAATGTAGCCTAACTCCTCCTGATGCCATCATCTCAGCCAAGCGTTTACGCAGCAGTCTGGTTCTGGATGGTGCATCATGCTGGTTTTCATGCAGCTATCATCCATTACAGATTTTTTCCACAACTCCTGCATGAACTCGCAATCCTAATATTTACCAAACACCTTCTGAACACTGTTAAATATCTCAAATTTACACCTCGATGTGTTAGACCACGGGATGTAAAAAAAAAAAGGCATTTCTTGGCATCAACAGTGAATCTCCTGCTCAGACGCGCTCACTAAGCTGATAAAAAAAACCACAACTGTACCAACAATCAATGCCTCAAACCAACTTCTGACCCGGCCTCGCCTTTGTCAGCTCAATGATTTCCAGTTAATCTGCAAACTGTAGCATCTTTCTTGGATGTGTCTTATAGTAACAGAGGCTCGAGTGGATGAACACGCAGCTCTTTGTCTGATCTGAGCTCTCTGTATGCTTGGTAATGAATGTCCTTTTGAAAGGGGGTCAGAGGTCCAACAAGGTACTTAGGATTCAGGTCAACATCACTTGACCTGCACGGACAGGCTGTCTGACTGGCCGTAGTAATGAGACTGGAGGTTGAATAAGAAAAGCCATCATAAAGACGTAACAAGCAGACAAAGGGACGTTTTTTTAGACCAACTCTCGACTCTATATCATCATTTAATCCTTTTCCTTTTTCTGTTCTGCCTTTTTCCTCCTAAGGTTATCTCGTTCACTCCTGCTGTTTGCGCCTCAAAGAGATCACCAATTTACATGCCTCTTCATCATTATACTCATCTTTTCATCTTCCTTTTCTCTTTCTGCCTACATCAATATCTCACTCCCTCTCCCTCATTATTCTTCTGTCACATCATTTCATTTTCCCTTCCTTTCTCTCAATCAAACTGTAGCCTTAAGCTATTTCTATCACAACGTCAGCGCTGACTCCTTCACTTTAACTCTTCATGCTCAAGGCTGGATTCTGGTCTTGTTGAATAATTCACCGATCCTCACATGAACAAATTTGAAAATAAATAAATACTAATAGTTCTGGGAAAAGTTGAGATTATCAGCAACAAGATTGTTTGTGTTGAGTTTACGTGCGAGTGTTCATGTCTGGTTTTCTATGAGTCAGTGTTTGGAACTCAGCTGGAAGTGGCTGTGTTGAGAAAAGTTTGACAGCAAGGAGCAAGTTAACAAGCCAGAGGGGTTTTCTTACTTTAGGCAATTTTCTTTGGACATAATGTTTTGTATTCATGGCTGATACTAGAGCTGGGTTTTTAAGAAAAGTTAAAGTGATACTCTAGACGGAGAACTCTACAGCCAAAGCTTTTCTCTGTAAAAAGAGCATAGTGGCTCCGAACAGGATGTCGTGTTTTCCTCCGGCTATGACTGCACCGCTGATCTTTGAGGACGGAAGAGTTCAACCGTGTGCACATTCGCAATATTCTGACATTTATTGACAGACACTAGAGCTCACAGCATGACAGCAAGGTTGTGGGGAGTAACGTTATACCGGTACATCTGGTCACCTTCAGTCCAATAGTAATCAAACTGAGTTTATAAAGCTGTCCAGGGAAAAAATAGGTGCAACTTTGTCAACAGGAGGTACCGATAAATATAAAAATAAGCTTTAATATTCTAAAAGTCAGAAATTTACCAATTAAACCTTCACTAAATTGCAAAATGGAAAAGAAAAATTAGCTGAAAACTATCCATGTTATTAAAAAAAAGGATAATTGTAAGAAAATAAATCCTCAAATATAACTCTGTCCTCTGAAACATAAAGGATTGTTGCTTCTTCTGACAGAAAATTTTCAAGTCTGGGGTTTTTTCATTGTAAATTGTTTCCATTGTTGTCTGTTTTATTCTTAATTCTTTTCTGTGTTTGTTGTTTATTTTTTTGAATTATCAAATTCAAAGTGCTGTTGTGAATAGTATCAGTTTAATTGCTTAAAACTTGTCCTTATACAAATACACATTTTCTTTTGTAACAATTGTCATTTGAAGAGTCACTTTGAGCCCAAGAAAACCAACAATTAATCATAAAAAAAACATCCTGCAGGTTGATAAATCACAAAAATAATTAGCTCCCTTCGATCCCTTCCTTATTCCTCCTTGCTATCAGTCACCCGTCTCCCCCTCTACCTTTAATCCCACTCCCTATCTCCCCCTCCTTGCTGCAGGGCAGGTGCCAGGTCTCATTAGAAAGTATTGGCCGACACGGCTTTCTGGCTGAGCTCCCCTGCTGTCTCTCTCCCTCTTCTTTCTTCTGTCATGTCCTGACCTCTCACCTATCACGGCGAGAGACAGCCCAGCACACACGACACGCACTACATCGCCCAAGAGCATTTGTACCCATGTGTGGAAAAAAAAAAATCACAGTCCAGGGTGGTCCCAAACACAAAAAATCTGCTCATGATTCATCTGAAACCGCTGCTTGAACCCTCAGGTAGGGATAAAAGTCAACACAACACAGCAAGCATCACCTGCTCACACACATACACACAGACATACACACAGAAAATAACACACAACCACCCTGAGATCGTAAACACATATGCAGCTCTCTCTGTACACACAAACACACACCAAATCCCTCTATGCAACCCGCGAGCGGAGCTAATGTTCAACCCCTCGGGCTCAGACAGTGCACTACCAACAAACCTCATTCTGGAAGCTGGTCTCCGACACAGCACTCCTCCCTCCCCTCTAACTCCAACACGCTCTCACTGTGGGCCACCTACGCGATTTGGAAGCCTGCCAGCCGCAAGGTCAGGGGAGGGTTAACATGATTACACAGACCAAACATAAACACACCATTTCTGCCCATTAAGGCTGGCCAAACTTTACCTTCTTCTTTCCCCTATGAACTTCGCTTTAAGTCTGGGTTCCTAAAATGTCACCTTTTAAGAGTTGCTCTTAAGGCTTTAAAAATAAAACAGGAGGAAGATACACATGCCTAAAGCTGCAACTTCTGCCATGTGTGAACTTGAGGAATTTGTGAGAAATTTTTAGCAGCTCTGTTCCTTAAATGTTGCAGACTTTTTTCCTCTTACTGTACTCAACATCGTTTTCTTTAAGGCTTTTGTGGTTCCCTTATCAATGCCTTTCACTTAGTTCCTCTTGTCTTGCAAAGCAGAGACATAACACATCATGAAATGCAGTCAGCAGCGAGAAGGGAACGATGTCTGGCATAAGATGGGAGCTGTCCAAAGTGCTGAACCATAGACTGTATATACTATGGACAACTTGGTTCCGCCTTCCACCAGTATACGGATTTGAAGCCGAAAAGCTCTCGGTAATTCCATGTTTTTTTCTCCACTTCCTGAAACCAACATTGCACAGTATCGTTGTACGCACTCCACCACTTGAGCAGTAGCATTGTGCGCATTCGGTGGGACTCGGCGATAGAGTCAAGAGTCGCTGTGGTGACGCTCGGCTCAAACAGCGTACCCCCCCGCCGAGCTACGCAATCCTTGTACGCCCATAGGCTGTATCAAGTGTCAATCATAAAAAACTTGAACCCCCTAATACCTTTTAGAAACAAAGCTGTACAGAAAAAAAGGACTTGAGCACAAACCAGACTTGGAATAACTACATGTCAACATCGCAAGCATGTGTTCTGTGTAATAAATTTCTAAAGTTTGTCCACAGCCCCATAGGCTTTGCTGGCGGAGGCGGGATTTATGACCTGTACTGCACCCTATCACGAGAGGGTGCTGTTCTCGGAGTGGCTTCACCCAGCAAGGAGGCAGACTGCGTCCATTCTACATACAGTCTATGTGCTGAACATAATGGTTTTTTTTTACAGTATTTGCTCAAAAAAGGAAACAGTATAACATGACAACTAACTGTAAAATCCACTCGCTTTGTGAGACAGGCAGCTTTCCAACAGTTCTATTTGGACTTTTCTATCACGATCAGTGTTTTCTCCAAGACTGTCCTGATCAAGTCTCTTCAAAGGGAAGCCAATCTGTGATAACTTGTGAATACATTTTAATGAAATAGTGTCCTTTCTTCTGTTAGATGACCATGCTAAAATGGAGGCTACCATCTTTTTGTTGGTAAGATAACAATCAGAGGCTGCATCTCCAATCAGCTGACCTGAAAAGAACCAGTCAGACCCCAGGCTTCCCTATCTCAAAATTCCCAATAAAACTTGTATTGTTGCACAGACAACCTGTAAGCTTATTTTACATAGATTGATAAGAGAATTGACAAAGATTTCGACTAAATTGATAATGGCACTGGTATCAATGAAATCATATTAATTCCCATCCCAATCCATCACATTATCTAGTTTTTTACTGTTGGATGGTATGGAAGTAATAGAAGCACTATGCCATATCTGCAAATTATGTCAGAGGCAGTGACAGACACGTACGCTATGTTGACAGTTTTTGCATTTATATCAATGCTATGAGGGAAGGACGGTCTGTCCTTCCTTTCCTTAAAAGTGAGTCTCTCTCTTCAGCTGGAGATGTTTTTATTCATTCTATCTTAAAGTTGCAATTTCAGGTTCAGTTCTGCAAATTGTTCCGAGTTTTGCACGTTTGAATTCCCTTCTTGTAGCGGTGCCTTGCAAATGGAAATAAGACGCTCAAGTTAGGGATGGAGAAGCGAAAAAACTTTCCCTGCCCTCTTTGACTGCTATGACAACCAGAAGATTTTTCCATCTAAATTGAGTCTATTTTTCGAAGGCATTCAAGTAACATTTGATACAAGCTGCAGGGTCATTTTAGCGTGGGTTGAAACATCATTACTGTCAAGTTTTTCAGACGATGCAACCTCTGATTTTGAAAAGTCATTACTGGCTCCAAAAATCCACTATGGTGAAGGCCAGTTACACCTCGTTCAAGTACAAAACACAATATATTTTGTGAGGGAGGGAGGTACATCGCAATCGAAGTTAGTATACAGAAACCTTCATTGAAAGGTTTCTTTAGTTGTTTCAGCCTCTCCAGGGAAAAAGACAACTTCTAAAACCATTCAGTTTTAAAATATATCTGAGACAAACAATGCAAAAGTTTGGACTCTTCACTCAGGGTTCACAGACAGTTGCTATCAACCCCGTGGAGCTGAGCCAGACTGCTCTCTAGAAAAAGACAGAACCTTGGAGAGACTCTGTGAAAAGGAGATGAAAACAATTAAACGTTTTAGTTGAAATATGTACAAAATATATACTCTAATAGCTTCAGTATGCCAGAGAAGGAACATTAGAGGTCAATCAAAGGGCAGCTGGTAAAAGGCAGAAGGTGTAAACACACTTTTATTAAAGATGCGCTCTTCTTGTCGGTATCATGTTCCTGCTCACATTGTGGTTTTTATTTGTCTCTCGGTTTGACAGTGTTTTCAATTTATTTTTTTCTCTCCCTTTCGGTTGATAACCTTGGTCTATTGATCACATCATGTTCTGTACAACTTCACCAGCTCTTTTTTTTTTGATTTCTTAATTACCACCTTTCATGCGCTCAGGGTTTTTGAATATGCATAACACGTCTCTATTCCAGAAAACAGATTACAGTCTTTGAGCATTGCTAGCGTGGAAAAGAGGAAAAAAAATATAAATGGGTAATTTTTCAAAGAATCTATTTCAGTAGCACAGTGAGTGAGATTTTCGGGGTATGATAATTACATCTGTGAGAAGGCCTGAGGCATCAGTGTTAGACTTTTGAAACTTGGTTCTAATGTGATGCAGTGCTGGTTATGGACAGATACGCAGGGGTTTGGGTCTATAAGCTCTTTCTCAACCCTGAGGACTGGGTGGCAGCTCTTTCATGCCGTCCCTTCGCTGTCATCGTCATGCTCCCACTCACGCGGAACCCAAATTACAGCAGCATGAAGCCATGTGAATGCATGGATTTGCGCTGCATGGGAGAAAAGAGAGAGAGGGGGAGAGGGAGAGATGACGAAAGGTTAGGGCTAAAGCACGTCTCTAAATTTGGCATGAGCTCAGATCAAAGGACTGCGATGGAGGAGAAAGAGAGGAGGAGGAGGGGGAGAAGATACCAGGGCAACAAAGCCCCAGAGTTCTCTGCTCCTTTCTTTATCTTTTTTTCTCTGCCTTCATTTTTCCCCAGCTCAAATTGCTTGCTCCCTACTTTAACAGTACTCCCACACTAGGCCAAATTTTAAAAATGCATATTTTTACCCTTTTGTTTTGGCCTTGCTTCCGCTCCGAGATCGAGTAAGTCTTGAAACCAGAGTGGAAGAAATCTGAAAATGCTGCCCTTGTATTTTGAAGCTGGCACACGCCCTCTCTGTGCAGAACATAAATGAACGTGCACATGGCTTTTGTGACTGTTTCACAAGTTGTTTTCCACTTTAAACAACCGTCAACCAAGAAATCGAAGCTTTTACAAGAATAAGCAGATAAATTTGCAAAAACAACCTGGATACAGAGTTCCTGTAACCAAACAGCATGTTCTAATTGAGCTGGCGGCGTTTTCACAATTTGTCTCTTTCCTCTTTTTTCAAAGTCTGCCTCCCTCCATCATCTCTCTTCTCTTACAGCCCCTCTGCCCCATCCTAACTCCCAACGGTTATGTAATTCATCACGCTTCCCCGGACTCTCTCTCTCTCTCTCTCTCTCTCTCTCTCCTCTCGCTCTATGTCTGTCTCTCTACACGGGTGGAACAAATGGAGATCAGTCGGTCTAATGCTGAGTTAGGCCCCTCGTCGCTCTGACAAAGCTACGGCGTTACCCCTCTCATTTAACCAGTGCTCGGATCCACAAGCTTTCACACATACACACGGACGTATACACTTGAAAGGGCGCACTTTATCTCCATTTCTCCCTCTTGAGCACTCTCCCTCTCTTTCACACACACACACTCACAACTACACACATGTCCGAAGCTTTTTATACATTAGTTTTATGCTTAAGCAGCATCCAAGCTCTCAAGTAGTGTTGCCTGGGCTACCTCCATTTCTCAGGTCAGCTTTACCACTTTTCTTTATGCTGCGTTCGAGTTACCTCGTAAGTCAAATGTCTGAGCTGGGAATGATGTTACACCCGAGTTACCAGCGTTTCAGTTACTAAGTGGGAAAAAAGCTAAATTGCTGGTGGAAACAAGATGGCGACATCTACAAAAGTGGATGCTAAAATAACTTAAAACAACTAAAATAACAAGCGCTAAAATAACTTTCATTGATATAGCCATCTTGTTTCCGCCTCCGATTTTACTTTTTCCCGACTCAGTAACTGAAACGCTGGTAACTCAGGTGTGACGTCATTCCCAGCTCACTTCTAACTTCCGAGGTAATTCGAAGTCCCGCTCCGATCTCTTCTTTTTTTAATATACTTAAAGTGTTCGCAGTGGTCTTTAAATTGTGATTATGAAGTTGTTACCAAAAATCTCATTATCTTTGTCATTTTCAAGAGCTTTTCTTCAGCAGAGCTCCTGTAGCTCATTAGCAGTTCACCTCTGAGTTGTGGGCGGAGACAGCGCTGCCCTGCACACTCGTCTTCACATTAGCTTGCAGCCTAGCATTGCTGCTGTAGTAGAAGTGGCAGGTAACATGGGAGCTATTCAGCTCTCAGACACTAATGTCTTCAGGGAGATGATGAAAGTTAATATCATAATTAGCTTTCTTACGAGCACTGTAATCCGCTAACGCGCACATGCTTGTTCCGCTATCATCCTCAGTATTTCTCCTCTATATGGAGAGTGTGCTTGGATTGGTTACGTATGACATCTCACTGTTTCTGAACCTGCCGTTTGGGTCTGCCAGAGATTCACAGAAATTTAAATGAAGAAATACTCAGAAAAGCAGTTTTGCATTTAGTTTTCTCATATGTCCTGTAGCATCAGAAAAACGCCATATGAATATATATAAAACAAGAAAAACATGATTTTTATTGGAGTGGGTCTTTAAGGAGATACTTTTGGTTGTTTTCGGTAGTTTTGACATTTAAGCTCGTAATCAGAAACTGACACAGTCCTGCAAATTTTCATTTGCCCTTGAAGTTTTTCAAAGTTGCTTCTCCAAACATCTCTCCGGCACGATGACATTGTGGCGTATTCTTAAGCAGCTATTTTTCATGAAATGTCTTCTCCTTATCCCGACTTATAAAGAAGATTTTAAGGCAGGTTAATTTGAGAGTTGAGTAGCAGCATTTTCCAGGCAAGGCTAATTCACTCCAAAATACAAAAAAAAGATCTTCAAAGTTTAACACAAGTCATCTTTATTTCATGGGCAGAGTGTTCAGAAAAATAAAACCAAATCTTGTGAGACTTTTATGAAAGCCAATGTTTTCAAAAAGGAAAACTGTAATTGAATTCTAACAGAAATGGGGAATAAAAGAATCATCTGAGAAAGCCTGAGCGCCAATTTCTCACATAAAAAACATGTAACCATGCTGCTAAATCTGGTGTATGCATTTAATCTCCTTCGGTTGAGATCACAATCTTATTGTGCATAATTCATGCCAGAATTTTACACACAGTCCTAACCCAATTTAACTGTTTTAAGTATTTTCCTTTGAGTGCGCTTCTCTTTGTTTGCAGACTTCACACTGGGTTTGTGTTCACCATCTTTGCGATGCACAGTGAACATGAAGAAGACATGAAGAAGACATGGGGCCACTTCTATAATGCAGTGTTGTCTCTTTGCAAACTGAAGCATGCGTTCTCCTGCAGCTCAGTAATCCAGTGGATTCACTGTATGATGGATAAAATGACAAGTTTGTTTTCCCCATCTGTTTCAGACTGCTGTGACTGTAATTTGTGCATCAAAAACAACATCAGAAGGGGGCATACTCTCAGTGAATTTAAAGGAGACTTGTCACACTCATTTTCACCTTTCATCATGTAAGTCTGGGACACCTGTTAAACAACTAGCAGCTCAAAAAAACTCCTTGTTTATCTCATACTGGCATATATGAAAATCTCCATTTAGCCTCTACCTGAAATACTTTGTTTTGACAGCTTTTCCAGTGATATAAAGTTTGACACAGCTCATGGGTGTTACTTTTTCACACAGCTTTGGAGTGAGAAAAATGACCCTAAAGTTACACCTGTGCAGAAAACATCTTGAGACTGACAGTTAGTGCTCACATAAGCATCACTTAGCAGCACCTATTGTTTCAGTACCTGCTGTTACAATATTACTTATAGCCGAAAGGGAAGGTCTCTGTACATGAACGGCTTCAAGCTTTAGCAACAATTGAGATGTATATCCAACACTGTCTTTTACTTTTAAAGCCGCCATCCAAGAAGGGGCGAGCACGAACTCTTGCGTTGTAGTCCCAAAAAATACAAAACCTTGCCTCTGTTTTCTGGTGGCCTCTTCTTTGGGAAAAGAAAATAGCTGTGACTAGCCAGATCAAGTGTTCAAGACTGTCCAAGAGGGGGAAAAGTGGAAAGGTAGTATGGATTTTCCAGACAAGGGTGGGTGTGTCCTTTACAGAACTGACCAGATCATCCAACTATGCAAGCTGTCCAATTTGATCAAGTCGTGCAAAGTTAATGAAACATGTTGTTTGGATAACCTGCACAACATGTCCAGGGATTACCCGGACAAAGTTTTGTTTATCAAAATATGGATCAGTCTCTTTGCAGTGTGGGCTATAGGCTGCCCACCCACTCACAAGCTGAAAAGCATAGTGGCATCCTGGCAATCTACTCCTCAACTGAAGGAGCGATATCATCTCCTTAAATTTTGTTTGGGTGAGAAAATCCCAGGTTTGGGTGTGCTGAGCCCATCCCTGCCCACAGCTCTCACTGGCCCTGTTTTTAGGAGTCTTGTATGCATGTTAGAAACAACTCATGCCATCAACTGTGAAATCCACTCAGATCCACATTGGGAGTCAATCCCATGACAGGGTAGGGCTGTCAGTTTTTCACAAAATCAACTTCGAATGAATACCTGACTTGACATGCACATGTTTAAAATTTGCAATCGTAACAGGGACGTCCCTTTTCAGGGTCGTCATAGAAATCCCTTTTCATCGCCACAAGTCGATGGTGCCTCAGTGGGTAAGCCATCAGGTGTATGACAGCTGTCTTGTACAAAGCCAACATACAGCCCTGCCTTTGTCTTTTACTTTCCATTTATGGCACTAATATGAGTTTGTACCGGTCCCTACAGTTTGAAATTGAACTTTTCCCTAGAGTTCACACAAAGGTTCAAATTTGGATAAAAGATAACAGCCCTTCGACAGAGTTGGTAGTCACAATCTTTTTGGGGCCGATTTTTTCCTTTGGTTATTAAAAGAGCAAAGTCTTTTATAAATAAATACATAAAAATGAGCTAAAAATCAACACATACAAACATCAGAGCTGGGACACAGCCAAGCCAAACCTACCGACCTGACAAGGATCTATGCCAAACATCATTAGCCTTAATGTAGATACTGGAAAGTTGACTAAATTTAAAGTTTGGATATGAATTTTAACGGGAAATTTATTATGCAATGTCAAACTCTCATAAACTAATACCAGCATGAACATTTCTACTCATGAAAGTGTTTGAGTGCCATGTTCAAAATGGCCAAAGTGCAGACAGAAGTGTAGAATCACTACTTTCAAGACGGTGAATCAGCACCCTTGTGTATGGTCATATGAACTTGCATTTTTCCTACCTGCGACAAGTCGATTACTGAAGATAAGAGGAGAGAAACTGTGTCATGTTTCCGAAACATGAGCTGCTGGTTGATTTTTGTCCAAAGTAAAAAGTCGAAATTGTGAAAATAGATGGAAACCAAAAAGTAATAATCCATTAGCCCCGACTCCTCAGTTAGCTGGAGTTTGACCATGAACTGTACTCCTGAAAGGTGAAGTGCACTCACGCATGTTTCCTTTTTTTATCACAAGCAAGAATTTTGCTTGCTTAATCAAGGTCCTGCCTTCAAAGAAATATATTGTTTTTTTGTTGTTGAGCACACAATTATCTCAACTGCTCGAAACTACTAAATAAGACCCCCCCTTGTAACAAACAGAATTATCCTTTTAGAGCACTCAGTGTGTCTGTGCACACATAACAGGATTTACCCTCATTATCACCTCTGGCACTGCTTTTCTTTGTCTCATCCTCAAACGTGTGTGTCCTCTTTTTTTTTTTTTTTAAACACAGAACAAGTAGAAGAAGACACACTCCCCCACACACACATCCATGTATACACACTTAAACTTACACACAAACGCACAAACATTACCGCACAATAAAGCATCAGTACGAGTCTTGTACTTCAATCAGCCAATTAACCTGGAGCAGAGCAGAACAAAACAGTTGGCATTTGCCAATAGGGCAGCAACCTTCCAGTGATAATTACTCTTGGAGACGACGCATACACACACACACATACGTACATATATACGTACACACACACCCGCCAGCGTAGCATCAATCACACATCATGTTGGAGACAATGGCGGCTATACTTCCAGCGTAATCAATTATTTATCCTTGTCCACACTCGAGTGATCTCGAAACGCCGAGTCCACACATACACACGTAACCCAGCGCACACACACACGCACACGCACACACACACACACACACACACACACACACACACACAAAGTGATGATTGTCAAAGTTGACAGCACCATGCCGACAATGTGAATGGTGTGATTCTGAGCAACGCCTAAGGGCATCAGAGTACTTCATGAAATGGAAAGCCTACACACATTCTCGAATAAAGGCAGTGGAAACACATTCACACAGACACACACACTCACTCAAGCACATGAATAGGCCCAGCGTCATGTGTACAATTGAGACATTTTTCCTGGATAGAGAGAGAGCGCCTCAGTTTTCAAATGTCAAGATAAAATGCCGTGACAGTGGTGAAAGAAAACATGAGAGTGTGTTTGAAAAGGAAAGAAGAGAGAGGGAGAGGGAGAGAGAGATGGAGGCGGGCAAAAATGAGGAAAAAAAAAAGTCCATGTATATTTGATTGAGAAAGGAAATGCAGGGAGATGAAAAAGGAAGATGAGGAAAGAGAGAAAAAGATGATGGGGAGTTACAGAAAATTGGCAAGGCCGCTTCTGAAAGCACGCTCGGAGGGAGTGGGAGGGAAATGGAGTGAACGACAGAATAAGAGGCAGAGGCTAAGGAGTCGCGGAGAAGTGCAGCAGGCACAATGGATTGTTAGCTGGTAAACGACTGTCACTTTCTTTAGGGAGATAAACAGATTTGACACCTCCGCATTCTTCCTTTCCCCTCTTGTCCCCTTCTTTTCTCTGACTCGACATGGCCTGACAACCCTTCAAAAAAAATCACTTTCTGACTCTCTCCCTGCGTCTACGTTCCCTGCTGTTCAGTGCCATCTCTTACTCCTTCACTGCTTTTTTTTTCATTTTCTTTTTCCTCACAGACATGTGCGGCGTACTCGCCCTTCAGCAAAAGAGAAAAAAAAGAAACGCGAAGAAGAAAAGGGAGAAAACTACATGAATATAGACCCCATCTTCCATTTTCACGCGTTTCTTTTGCACACTCGCCTGAGCGTTGTGACAAGAGTCGATCAGACGAGACAAGAGAGGGGCTGGAAATCAAATGAAAGAATGGTCTCTGTCCCAACATCTGGAAGACGGAGAAAATAGGATAAGAAAGAGAGGAGGAATAGGAGAGATGGAGTGTAAACGGCAAAGAGGGGAGGATCAGAGAGGAGGTGCGCACGGAGAGTTGGGAGGTAGGAGATCAGTGAAGAGATGAGGAACAGAGGACTTAAAGGAAGACATGCGCCGATGCAGGAAGCTTGTGATCAGCTGTCAGTCGGGATCTGTGGGCCGAGTGAGTGTGCGCATCTGCCCACACATAAAAGTCCAAAGAAAAACATAAGCAACAAAAGCCACGTGACAAACTCACATAAAGAGAAGTGTTAATCATAACTGTGTGACTGCGAAACAGGTCAAAGAACAAACAGACCAGAGAAGAAAATAAGACTTCATTTAACAGGATGATGGACAGAAGATGTGATTTATGCCTGGAAACAAGATCTATTTACAACATGAGATAAAAACCAGATTTAGATCAGGACCTCTTGAGCCAAAAGGGTAAAAAACTTGCATTTCTCTAAGGCCCCAACTACAGGAATGCAGATATATTTCAAACCGCACATATTTATGTCCGATTAGGCCTCCCTAACACACCAAAACGGGAGTCTGGAACACTCAAACCGGATAAATCTGAATCCGAAAAAACAAGTGGAGAAATAAAAAAACATCCGTATAAGTGGATTCGTGTGGTTGAACTTTTACAGATCGATGACGTTGAACCGCAGCTCGCGCATGCACATTAAAAAGAAAAACAACAACAATGGCGGACATACAGGGTATTCTTTACGTTTGTTTTGCCCTTTTGGGGCTAATTTCAGCCTTGCAAGTGAACCTTGTTTTCTACAATTACATCCACCAGTCAGCCAGCTCACAGAGGCGTCTGCTGCGCCCAATACTTTTATTGGAGAGCAATCGTAACGTTAACATTAGGCGTTTTAAAGTTCGACAGAAGGGTAAGTTTTGGGTCAAACCCGGTCGGACAAGCAAGTGGTGGGACAACTTCGTTAGAGGGGCTGTGCCTGCAGATGAATGGAAGCTAAACTCACGATTCATCGGCCAATCAGGTAACTTTGTTCTTGAATGTTTTTTAAGCGGCACCAGATAGGATTGAGTTTGAAGGCTACGTGTGGACGCAGATATTTTTGAGAACTAACACGTGTGGACTGATACATTTATTTAGACGGGAGTACAAAAATATCCTGATAAATAAATATCTATACGTGTAGTCCGGGCTTAAGTGTCCACATGAAGCTGACTCTAAAGTCCAGAATAATCCCCATTCAAGCTCCTCTGGGGAGTTTTTAACTGGTTGTGCAGAACATTGAAATTAATATTATTGATGTATTTTTATGACCTCCAAAAGTAAATGAGACCATTAACAACAAAACTGAAAACTTCTTTATTGCAGTTTAAGTGCCTGAAGCCTCCACGTGTAAGGGGGACAGACGAGAGGATCGAAGCCAAACGTGGTGAATAATTAGAGGTCATCACTTTGAGTGAGAGGAAGATGCTGCTGCCTGTTTGTTTGACATTGACACAGCCAATTCAGTCGCTTAACCACTCAACACGTTTGTTTTTTCTTTCATTAGTTGGCCCATTTAATGGTTTGTTGATGCAAACATCTGACACATGATATGGCTTTCTCTGTGGTGTAAAGCAGTAATTGGCTGTCCAACACGTCTGTGCTCAACCTTTTCATTTGAGATTCTAGTTTTATTCTATTTTACTTACCTGGCTTGTTAGCTCGTTCAGGGTTTATCAAATATTTATTTGATTGTGGGCCAGAAGTCAGGATTGCAGTTGGCTTTTCACTAGAGAGATTACGGCAGATGGAAGTGATAAGTGGACCAGTAATTATAATTTACACGCTACTAGTGATTCACTCAATACTCTCTTAGTTCAGGTGCAGCTGGGCATTTTTGCGAGTAGCATCCACGAGCTCTCATAGCATCTTTAGCCTGGTATATTAATAACTGTGGTCAGCAGTGTGTTGGAAACATGATTTTTACTATTCATCAGACACAGAATAGCCACAGGTGTTGACTGTCTAGCTGTGATGTTTGCCAACCACCTGCTCCTCTCCAGTTCCACCAAAACGGCGGCCAAATGCTAAACGCCTGGCTCCACGTGAGCAGCCAAGACACCAACATTGAGATCATGATGACTGTTTACATTATAAATCATAAGATATACTCATTTGACTTGGCAATACGATAGTGGGCGCCATGTTGGAAATGCTAAGAAATAGAGGTGAAGCCGAGGTGGGCTTGTAGCCTCCTGGAGAAGAGCTGCATCACACCCACATGTCTGCAGTCACGCCCTTTATTATGCAAACTAATGAATAACTCTTACCCATCATATTACATCAACTGATGCTCCATAAAAAAACAGACCACTCTTCCTTCGTGCAGTATGTATGAATAAATAAATGAGCTACAAAAGCCCAAACCATCTGTGAAACAGGCTTCAAACTAGTGGTTGACTTATTACCGTTTTTCAATCTCCGATGCTGATACCAAAAATGAAAGAGCAGTTCAGGCAGTGGTGTGTATCTGATGCCAATTTCATCTGTTGTTTTTTTCTTTTTTTTTTCTCTTTGCATTTGACAAATTACAGCAATTCAATAATGCAAACAAAAGAGGCACAAAGTTGCTGAAGATGAACATTTGATTAAATAATTTTAGATGGAAAATGTTTGTCTGGGTAAAAATATTGTCACATACAAAATGTCTGACCAGCTATCTTGAATTATTTAAAAAGAAATACAACCACAAGTTAAACAGTGCGATTGAAATGAAAAATTTTTTAAAGTAATGTAAAAATCCATTACTTCATTGACAGTCACACAAAGTTTCTGAAGATGAGCTTTTGATTGTAAATAATTGTAGATGGAATTATTTGGGTAAAAATATTGTCTCATACGAAATGTCTGCCCAGCTATCTCAAATTATTGAAAAAGAAATACAACCACAAGTTAAACAGTGCACTTAAAATTAAAAGTTTTAAAAAGTAACGTACAAATCCATTACTTCATGCAAAATTAGAA